CGGTCCCGTGCACTAATTGCTCTCCTCGGCTGGTCTCCCCTCCTCTCCCCATCTGCCCCTTCAATCCCAGCCACGGTGGGACCCATTCACCTCAAGACATACACGGAATAAAACATCTAACAAAGGGAGAGTTACGGCTTTTCCTCTCATCTCCCTCTTCCATCATTATTGCCACCGAAGGGCCATTTTTATCACTTGCAGCTGTGGTCATTCAGCGACAACCTGCTGTGCTCAGAGGCAGATGAGACCCCGCACATTTGATCTGCATTAAGCCTTGTTTCATGGCTTCACATTTCTAGGTACATTCCAAACAGCAGCCCCAACCACCAAACCTTTTCATCCCTCTAACTACTCGGGAGCTCCTGTGAAATCTGTCATTTATCTTGCACATCAGGCATTGTTTTTTAATTTTATTTTCTTTTTTTCCTTCTCGGTTCAGCATCTGGGCCCCCCAAATCCATCAGCCTCAATCAAGGGGCAGCGCTTCTCCTGGACGGCAGCAAAATCCCTGTTTTTTACACCAGTGATGTTTATTAGCAGAGCTGTTTTCCATTCCCTTCAGACACGAGGTGCAAATTAACCCGCTCTTCACACGTACCAGCTAAGAAACCCAGCACTTTGCTCTCAGGTGCAATGAGCCCTTGGTTGTAGCCATCTTTTGGGGGGCACTCTTTAAGGACAAGGCAGTTGTTTCAGCCTCGTTTGGTTTCGAAGCCTCGTTTGGCACATAAAGGCAAGGAGAGATGAAGGGGAGGAGAAATGAAAGCCTGAATGGTATCCTATGATAAATTTGTTGCAGAAGCTCCCAGATTTTTGAAGGTCCTAGAAGGACACAGCGGGGAAGTCCATCTGCTCACTAAAAAAACCAACAAAACACCAAAGCCCTGCTGTAGATAGTGGTGGGGAGAGCAGGCGTGGGAGAAGTAGACAGTACAGCTTCAGAAAAGTCAAAATATTTCCTTTGCAGTAAGGCTCAGCAGCTCAGATTGACCACAGAATCATACAATGGTTTGGGTTGGAAGGGAACTTAAAAGATCATCGAGTTCCAACCCTCCCTGCCCTGGGCAGGGACACCTCCCACCACACCAGGTTGCTCCAAGCTCCAAGTCCAACCTGGCCTTGAACCCCTCCAGGGATGGGGCAGCCACAGCTTCTCGGGGCAACCTGTTCCAAGGTCTCACCACCCTCACACCAAAGAAGTTCTGCCCCACATCTCAGCTCCATCTCCCCTCTTTCAGTGTCAAACCCTTCCCCTTCCTCCTAGGACTCCCCTCCCTGATCCAGAGTCCCTCCCCATCTCTCCTGGAGCCCCTTGAAGGACTGGAAGGGGCTCCAAGGTCTCCCCGGAGCCTTCTCTTCTCCAGGCTGAACCCCCAACTCTCTCAGCCCCCCCTCCCAGCAGAGGGGCTCCAGCCCTCCCGGCATCTTCGTGGCCTCCTCTGTCCCTCCTCCAACAGCTCCATGTCCTTCTGCTGTTGGTGGCCCCAGAGCTGGAGGCAGCACTGGGTGGGGGGTGTCTCCCCAGAGCGGAGCAGAGGGGCAGAATCCCCCCTCTCACCCTGCTGGGGGTGCAGCCCAGGACACGGGGGGGCTTTCATGCCCCCCCTCACCCTGCTGGGGGTGCAGCCCAGGATGTGGGGGGGGCTTTTTGGGCTGCCAGAACACGTTGCCAGCTCACATTGAGCTTCTCATCCACCAAAACCCCCAAAATCCTTCCCCTCAGGGCTGCTCTCCGGCCATTCTCCTCCTGCCTGGGATTGTCATGACCCAGGTGCAGAAGAGAGAGCCAGAAGAGAAGATACTCAGTGCCTGCTGTTCCCTTCTATCCACCTGAAGAACCTTAGCTCCCCAGAGTCCTTCTGCCTAGTCCTTTTGGGGGTGCCAAAACACAAAGCAACCCCCCAGCTGTCCCATACCCTGCATTTCTCCCTGGCAGAGGCCTGGCAGTTCATGGCATCTCCCCTCCCACAGGTCCCAGGCTCTTAGATTTCATTTTCAACCTTCTAACGAGCAGGAAAAAAAAACAACAAGGGAGCCTCCAGAAAACAAATACACTTGGAAATGCCCAGCTGATTAAAAGCTCAACTCCTACAGCAACCAGCTGGTGACCAGCTCAGCCCCTGCGCCGGGAAGGCGGCAATTATAAATAATTAAGAGGTAATAGGAAGGAGACACTGAAGTGTATGAAGCAGATTTCTCTCCAGGTATCTGGAGGTTTCTATTGCTGCCAATCACACCCTGCAGATGATTGTCTTGTCTTCATCAGTCATCCCAGCCCGAGCTCAGGTTCACATTTGCAAGTCAACTAATTAAGCCCAGTTATGCCTCTGCACACGGAAGCCAAAAAAGGCCAGCAAAACCCTCCTCTAATTGTTAAGCCACTCAGAATGAAAATTCCCTCCCCCCCAGGTCAGCCCCCAGCTCTCCAGGAAAAATGGACACGGATACGAGAAGCAGTTGGAATAATTGCATTTAGGAGAGCGTTTCCTCAGCTTCTCATCCACAGAAGGGGGTGCACCTCAAAATACAGCCTATAAAAGACCACCAGAACTCAGACTGTCGCTCCAAGCCAGCAAATAGTTAATTTTTTAAATAGATGAGGCCGAGCTGTTGCATCTTTATGCTTTGTTAGACTCCCAGAGCACACCAAGGCAACCCCCTCTTCCAAATAAGCCCAGCCTGGCTTGTTTGATCATGGAATCATGAAATTGTTGGAGTTGGGAGGGACCTTCTAGAGATCATCCAGCCCAACTCCCCTGCCAAAGCAGGGCTACCCAGAGCTCATCACTCAGGAGCATCCAGGCAGGGCTTGAAGATCTCCAGAGAAGGGGACTCCACACCCTCCCTGGGCAGCCTCTGCCAGGGCTCTGCCACCCTCACCCCAAACAAGTTCTTCCTCACATTGGAGGGGAACTTCCCATGGTCCAGCTTGTGCCCGTTGCCCTCATCCTGTCACTGGGAACCACTGGGAAGAATCATAGAATCATTCAGGTTGGAAGAGACCCTTGGGATCATGGAGTCCAACCATCAACCCTACTCTACAAAGTTCTCCCCTACACCATATCCCCCAACACCATATCTAAACGTCCCTTCAACACAGCCAGGGATGGTGACTCAACCCCCTCCCTGGGCAGCCTCTTCCAGTCTCTGACCACTCTTTCTGTGAAAAATTCCTTCCTAATGTCCAGTCTAAACCCACCCTGGTGGAGCTTGAAGCCGTTCCCTCTCTTTCTGTCACTAATTACCTGTGAGAAGTGACCAGCACCAACCTCTCTCCAGTGTCCTTTCAAGCAGTTGTAGAGAGTGACGAGGTCTCCCCTCAGCCTCCTCTTCCTCAAACTAAACAGTCCCAGCTCCTTCAGCCGCTCCTCATATGATTTGTTTTCCAGGCCCTTCAAGAGTCCGGCTCCATCATCCTTCAACCCACCCTTTAGATCCTTGGAAGCATGAAGAAGGTCTCCCCTCAGCCTTCTCTTCTCCAGGCCCAAGACCCCCAGCTCTCTCAGCCTTTCCTCATCAGGGAGATGCTCCAACCCCTCCATCATCTCTGTTGCCCTACGCTGGACTCTCTCCAGCAGTTCCCTGTCCCTCTTGAACTGGGGAGCCCAGAACTGGAGGCAGGATTCCAGTTGTGGCCTCCCCAGTGCAGAGCAGAGGGGGAGAAGGACCTCCCTCCACCTCCTGGCCACACTCTTCCCTCCGCAGCCCAGGATCCCATTGGCCTCTTGGCCACAAGGGCCCATTGCTGGCTCATGGAGAGTTTACTGGCCTCCAGGATGTCCATATCCTTCTCAGTAGTGCTTTCCAGCAGGTCCACCCCTAACCTATACTGGTGCCTGGGGTTCTTCCTCCCCAGGAAGATCCTCTTTTAGGATCCTCACCTCCTGGCCACACTCTTCCCTAGACAGCTGAGTGTCCAGGACATTCAGAGAGCATTATGCCAAGAGGAAGCAAAAGGTCCTTTTTATGTCTGCTCCTCACAACCACCTCCATCAGACTTTTTGGAAACAAGGAAAAGGTCTCTAGGACAATTTAACACTTTTTGGCAGAAGGATCTTTGCTGGAAGAGTCTATCCAGCCTGGTGTGTTTGGAGGGGGAAAGGAAGGGAGAGCCCCACAAAGGATTTCTGCTCAGAGAAGGGTGTTTTATACTATACTACATATAAATAGATTTTTGTTCTGAATTATTTGCAACGAGGGAGCTGAGCTTTGAGAACTAAGGGACAGAAAGAGCCTTTTGTGTCATCCCAGCTGAGCTACTTCACACCTGCAGCGAGGAGAGAGGCGAGCTGCCGACAGCACGGGCAGGAACATGTGAGAAACTGCACGTGGCTTCCCCACAGAAAGCTGACACGTTGTGAGAATCTACAGAAAAATGGGGCTCTGGGTCTATTTTCCCAGTCTCCAGATGGTGTGGCCACTGGTCTGTGCAGACTGGGGAGGCATTCACACTCTGCTCCCAACACACTGCTGAAATCAAACACGAGAAGATGCGTGGTCGCGCTACCTGAAGGGGAAATCGGAGAATCCCTGGTGGTACCCAGCCTTGGTTCAAAAATCCTGGGGGATCCAGGCTTCTTGGGCTCCCCAGTGCATGGACAACATCAGTATTAGGTAGGAGGGCAAAGAAATAGCACGTGCAATTCAGTTCTGGGGCAGGAGAGCTCTTTCCTACCGTGTTCCTTATCTCCCAAGGCAAGTATGAGATATTTGAGACTTGAGATATAGTATTAGGTAGGAGGGCAAAGAAATAGCACGTGCAATTCAGTTCTGGGGCAGGAGAGCTCTTTCCTACTGTGGTCCTTATCTCCCAAGGCAAGTATCTCAAGTCTGAGATATTTGAGACTCGAGATATTCCTGTTGTGGAATGATGGGGGTCTGGATCTGCCACTTCCCGGGCTGGATTTGTTCCTTCAAACTCAGGAGGGATGAACTCAAAGGGCAGCAACACCCCACGGCCCCCGTTTTACCCTGTGGAGTTCAAACAAGTGCTCACTCACCCCTCTTCTGCATGAAGACGAAGAGGTCGTCCAGGAACTCCTTCCGTTCGGGGTCACTATCCAGTTCATAGAGCTGGAAGAAAAAAAAATAATAATAAAAATGAAGGCAAAATCCACAAGGAGACTGAAAATAAATAAAATCAGCTTCTTCCTATAGGCAATCTGGTGGTTGTACTGGGGGGGAGCAAAAAGGAACCACAGGCAGAGAGGGAAAAGAGGAAAGGATCCCCCAGCAATTTTGGTGGACAAAGGTTTGAAACCACCTGGAAGCAAAGGGGGGAGGAATCTGTTAAAAACAAGCTGGAAAGAAAGATGAGGCATCCAAAAGGAAGGTCACAGTGGCTCAGGGCAGATTAGTGGCCCGTACCTTTGAGGCAACCAGGGAGGTAAAACTTCTCTGCAGCTTCTCCTGGCCCTTCAGGGATTGTCACGTAAGTGACAAACTCCAAGTCCCTTGAAGGAGGAGATGAAAGGATCGAGCTTTCCTGTAACTACTAATGCCTGGCATGAAAGGCTCCTCCAAATTAAGCCAAAAAACCCTTCAAAAATATCAGAAATCCGAGCCTGGAACCGTTTTGCTGCAGAAATCATTTTACCAAAAGGTTTAAAAACCCCAAGCATTTAAAATAAAGTCCCACAGGCAGCTTATTCCAAAGGAGAGGCTCCGTATGGCAGCGTTATCCAACTGATTTCTCAGAAGGGACAGGCCTGAGTGTCACCTCCCAACTACCTCTCCAACAGAAAAACCAAAAAAAAGTCTAATTTTCACCTCAAGAACCCCATGAGGCCACAAAGTGACAGGCTGAAAGGGCTGAAGCCGGTGTCTCGATGGGATACAGGAGGATACAGAAGATGACAGAAGATAATGCTGTACAAGGGATACAGGAGGATACAGAAGATGACAGAAGACAACACTGTACAAGGAGAAGAATTCAATTCCTCCTCTCCTTTGCATGGGAGGAAGAATCCAGCATCTCTCCAGGGAATTTTTTTTCCTGGGTGTAGCTATCCTTGTGGAGCAGCTCAACGGAAAAGCAAAGATTCACCGGGAAATATGTATTTCAGCCTCTCTGGGGGTGCTGCTGGCTACTTGGTATTCATCCACCTCCCCAAAAAAGGGCTTTTTGGGCTCATTTCCTCTGAAGGAGCTTTCTCACCCCCCTGAGCTCCAGGAAGAAAACACAGCAGTGTATTTGCAGAGGAATCAGCTGCCCCCTTTTAAAAAGGGCCAGCTTAGTTTAAAATGAATTCCTGTGCCTGACGTGACACACAGCTGCCACATTCAAATCCACCACCACGACGCTCACCAGCTTCGAGCAAGAAAATACTCCTTCTCCCAGCTGGAGAAACCATTGACTGAAATTTGCAACGTCAAAAGTTTGGTCAAAAGTTTAGTTCCAACTATATTCCAGTGACCGACGGCAACAAATTAGCCCCAAACCCAAGAAAACAGCAGGTTTGGAGGCAGAGGGCTGGGGGATAAAGTAAGTTTTCTTTACAAATTCACTATAGAGGAATAGTTGGGGGGTCTGTAGTCACCCCCTGTCACAGAGTAGGGGAAGAAATCCCCAAAGTTATCCCTTCCCCCAAATCCCCGTGGATCAGACTGACCTTGGCAAAGTCTCGTGAGATTTCTCTTCCTCGGCACCCATCACCTTCATCGCTCCAGGTCACGCTGCCGTTCTGGGGAGAGAGAAAGGGAAGGGTGAAAGGATGGCCTGGGCAAGGCTTTGCAGGTCATTCCAGAAAGATTTTGGCATTTTTGGGCTGCTGGCTTAGAGAAAGATGGGGGACATTTGTACCTGGGTCACAGCACGCTCTCCCAGAATCTCTGACACCACATGGGAGGTGGCTCTGCTATAATGAGGTCCAACACCTCCATAGAGAGGTCTCCCTGCCCATCTTTTTCTCCAAAGGCCCATCACAGGTGACACAAAACACAGTGAGAAATGCCCTTCTGTCCTCCCACCCACGTGCCTACAAACCCCAAACCAGAGTACGTCGAAAAAAAGAGGGGAATGATCCCAATGGAAAGCTTCTCTCCAAGCCAGGACCCCTTATTTCCTGGAAGCTCCTGGATGTGGATTTTCCTCGCAGAAATGGAAAGCTCAGCTTTGCTGGATTAAGCTTCATTCTTCTTAGGTATTAAAAGGATTACTCTAGTTAGGGCTATTCTGCTTGGTAAATCATTATCCTGAAGTGATCGCCGGGGCTGGAAACCAGCAGAGGCAGCTTCCAGCTCTACAGCAGGACCCAGACCAGACAAACAATGCTCCAAAACCATTTGAGCATCTTTAAACCATCAACTTCATAAAGCTCAGGTCGAGCAAGTGCTCCAGGAGCCACCGGAGGAATGAGAAGAAGCCAAATCCACCCAGCTTGGACCACCCTGTCCTAAGAAACACCCAGCATCCTAAGGCAGCCAGAAAAGCACTGAAGATAACAAGAGGTTTCAGCAAAAAATACCCCAAACGTGCGAATTAGAGAGAGGGAGGGGGGGTTCCAATATCTGAAATCTCGGAGTCATCTGGCTGTGACACATACATTGAATTAGAAAGATGAATAGCCCTTGTCAAGGCCAGGCAAAGCTACGTCTCCCCCCTTTAAAACCTACCACAGTGAGCTGCCCTAATGCCTGCTGATTTAGTTTGAGCCAGTAATTCCTGCTGGAAAGTCAATTATCCAGTGAGTCCCCATCAACTGAAAGATATTTAATGGGGGATTATTGCCACTTCTGTTATGTCAGCTGTTTATTACAGCAGATCAATTCCCAGCCCTCTCTAGGAAGAGATCTGAAGCCGGGTTTTTTTTTGTTCACAGGAGGATTCATCTGGGTGTCCTTTGCCGGCAGAGATTAAAAACACAGGGTTTTTGCTAATTATGGTAACATCCAGCTGCTCCTAAAATCCCAACCTAAGGGAACGGGCAGAATAAGAGATGGACCAGCCCTTCAGAAGGCAGGAGCTATTTGCCATCCTCATCCTCACACCCTCCACGGCTGAGCTGCTTCCTTCCCAAGCCTGTACTTGGGTATAAATCCAGAGAGAAAACCCCTCCTGGTGCTAAACTGGGCCCTGCAAGAAGCAAAACACTCGCTTTTATAGGAAACTCTGGTCCTGCTGAGAGCTTATTCCGCTACATTTGAGGGCAGGAAAGAGAAGAGGGTTTTAAAGGAGATACAACGCTCAACTTCCTTGGACTTTTATCAAGTCTAAGGCTTGAACTTGATAAAATTGCCAGGAACAAAACTCTTCCATGGGATTAGAGATTCTTTGCACTTGATAAAATTGCCAGGAACAAAACTCTTCCATGGAACTCGATGATCCTTAGGGTCCCTTCCAACCCAAACCATTCTATGATTCTATGATTAAAGATTCTTGGGAAGTTCTTTTAGTTGTTTTCTTTGTAATCAGGAAAAATAAATAAGATTAAGGTTTGATAAAGGGGGAAAAACGTAATGGAAACACCCTAAAAATCCCATCCCTACACCCCAAGATGCTGGAGAGCACACAATAATGGTGTGTGTGTGTGTCCCCAGTCTTGCTAGTGAAAAGGAGCTTAAAACCAGCTGAACCCAGCAGGGTTTTACCATATGTCCAGAAAATTGGCGGAGCCGGGTATCACCTGGCGTGACACGGAGTGATGTGAGGTGAGAGACAGGGCTCAGCCTTGGCATTTCCTCCTGCCCAGAGCTGGAAAGGTTTAAAGCCACTTCCCCCTCCCCAGGTTAAGCTCTTGGAAGAGATAAAGAAAGTCCTCCTCGCCCGTCACCGTGTAAATCAGCAAGGATCTACATGAGGACAGAGCACAGGTTGGGTTTGGGGGCAGAGTGAGCAAAGTCTCGGGCTAGAACGAAATGTCAGCTCAGCAGCTGGGGAATAAAGCTGTATTTATTCAGAGAACAGAGCACAGGCACTTTCCCAGGCCCCAGCTTTGATCGGGGCCTGGAGCATCTCTCTGCTGAGGAAAGGCTGATGGACTTGGGGCTTTTTAGTCTGGAGAAGAGAAGGCTGAGGGGGGATCTGATCAACACCTATAAATACTTCAAGGGTGGGTGGCAGGAGGATGGGGCCAGGCTTTTTTCAGTGGTGCCCAGGGACAGGACAAGAGGAAACGGGCACAAACTTGAACATAAGAAGTTCCATCTCAACATGAGGAGGAATTTCTTCACTTAGAGGGTGGCAGAGCCCTGGAAGAGGCTGCCCAGGGAGGTGGTGGAGTCTCCATCTCTGGAGACATTCAAACCCTGCTTAGACACATTCCTGTGCAACCTGCTCTGGGTGGACCTGCTTTAGCAAAGGGTTGGATTGGATGACCTCCAGAGGTCCCTTCCAACCCCATAGCATTCTGTGATTCTGTGATCTTGAGGGACTTATTCTGCTCACCAAAAAAACCTATGAGTCCGCGCCGAGGCTACAACCGAAGATACCAAACATCCAGAAGAGCGACTCGAGCCCAACTGAAAGAGGGTAAATTCAGCTAAAGAGGTGCTCCATCTGCAAAATAAACTCCATTTTGCACAGCGAGAGAACTCGGCGGGAGCTTTGGTATCAAGCTTCCTTCCAGGAAAACAAAGTCACCCTCCGCTGAGAAGCCCTCCTCCGTACGAACAGCAGGAACCTGAGAAATCAATATATCCTCCCAAGTCATTAAAAGACCTTTGTAGAAGTCAGGCAATGGTAGCAGGAAGGAAAAAACACTGTTCAGAGAGGCAGGTCGTTCTCCGGGGAGAGTCCTGCCTCTCTCTCCACCCCTTCTTACCAAGGGAATTTGCTGATGTTTGACAAACAGCCCGGGCGTTACCATGGGCAGGAATTTATCTGCTTTCTTGCAGTGAAAAAAAAAAAAAAAAGGTAGTAAAAGTACTACTTTTAAGTGCTTGAGCCCCTGATGCTTCCTTGGGTGGGAAAGAGGAGGTGTTGGGAAGGGCTGGCCACCTCCAGGAGCTGCTGGAGACACCTCGGAGGCCACCAGAGCCCCCCCCTCACACCCCGGACCACCCCCTCCCCGAGAGGCTGCCGGCCTGGCTTCAGAAGCAATTATATCTGGAGCTATTTTAGGATTACTCCCTAACCACCTGGAATATCTTATTAGAGGGAAGCTCAGATGTCCAGAGCAATTTTGGTTTCCAATCCCACATTGAAAAGGCAGAGTTAACCCTGAGTTGCCAAGCAGACAGAAAAGGAGATGACAAACGCCTTCCTGCTTCGTCCACCCCATTCTTCTGAGGACAAAAATAAAGACCTTACAAACAGGCAAACCTCAACCCCCTCCCTGCAGGACACCTACCTCTCAAATATTGCCATCCCACACATCTACCCCTCCCAGAGAGGCAAGAGAACTGATCAAAACTCTGTGCTCGATGAAAAAAAAAAAGTATAAAGGTAAAACAGCAGCTCATCGCCTCCTCCTCTGGTTTTGCTCACAGAAATTGCAAAAATGGGCATTGTGGAGAAACTGGAAATGCTCCTTTTTCCAAATCCTTCCCTTCTCTCCCACCCCATTTTTTTGAGGGGCTTGGATAAAGGTTTTACAGGATTAGAAAGTTGTATTCAAATGGCAAACTCAACTGGAGAGAACCCAGGAAAGCTCCAACATGTAAAAGAAAAAGAGGAAGAAAACGATTCTGGCACGAAACTCAAACTCTGCTGCAGACCTGCAGTTTTGACGGAGGTTTCAGGCCAGAAATCTGAAATATCCTCTTAAGGACTAGGCTAAATGTTGCAGTGGAAAAAAAAAATAAAAAGGCAGCCCCTCCCCTACCCCATGGGTTAACTGAAAGCGCCGAGTCAATGAAAAGGTACAGGGGCAGCAATTTCAGGATTATCAGAGAATCCACCGAAATTCCTTTTGTGGGTAGAGTTAAGCCTTAGGAAGTGAAACAGATGCTATTATAAAGCAAACTGTTGTACTACAAAACGCTGATAAGATCAGGACGACTGCCCTGAGCTGCAAGTTCTCAAGCGCGGAGAACCCAAGTTATAATTAGGGCGGTGCACGAGTTGCCTGGTAAAGCCTGGCCAAAAATCAGAATAAACCCTCTCCTTCCTAATAACAGAGCTCAATCCAATATCTACGACCTTCAAAGATGGGTTTTGAAAAAACATTTTAGTGCTTTCAGGAACAGCAGGGAGGATGGGGAAGGAAAGAAAAAGAATGGGTTGAAGCGAACTGATTAATTACCTATTTTTTTATTAAGTTTTCTTTTACGTGAGCTAGCGGCTGCGCCACCAACACAATTCGTTGCAAAAACAGGAATCTGCTTCCTTCTCCTCAAGGAAAAGTTGCAGCCTTTGTGAATGGCTCCTATTGACAAAACACCAGGAGGAATTAGCTCAAACCTAAGTGCCAAGAAGATTTGTTGGGCGCTAGATGGCTGTGGGAAGAGAAACTCTCAGTGTCACGAGAGAGAGTCTCAGCTTCACCCCGACGTGAGAGAAACAGAAGTGTAAGGATACAACACATTCCAGCTCTTTCCACCTCTCCCTCCCCAGTGTTAACTACGATTTCTATAAATTGGCACCGAAGGAGACAAGCTGCGACTATTCCTTCCCCAAAATAAATTTAGTGCCCCGAAAAATCCTAAAATAAGCCGTCTTTTCCCCAGGATCTAAATGAGCTCCTCGCTCTTCTCCTCCTGATATAGCCCAGGGGCTGTGATACAGCATAACCCTGATGATTGC